CCACACTGGGGAGAGGCCATACACATGCATGGAATGTGGAAAGAGCTTCAGTGACAGCGGAACTCTTACAGTCCATCGAAGAATGCACACTGGGGAGAAGCCATTCAGATGCATGGAATGTGGAAAGAACTTCAGGCAGGCAGGAAAACTTAATGAACATCAAAGAACCCACACTGGGGATAGGCCATACACATGCATGAAATGTGGAAAGAGCTTCACTCAGAAGCGAACTCTTACTCAACATCAAAGAACTCACACTGGGGAGAGGCCATACACATGCATGGAATGCGGAAAGTGCTTCAGTGATGGTGGAAGTCTTACTAAACATAAAAGAATCCACACTGGGGAGAAGCCATACAGATGCATTGAATGTGGAAAGAACTTCAGTCAGAGTCAGCATTTGGGGAGTCATCTGAGAATTCATCTTCGGAGCCATCAAGGAACATAAACGAGGGAAGTATCTTTAGGATAGAAACTGTGATGAAAATTCTAGCCCTTTGCACCTTCAGTGTGAAAAAGGTCAATTCCATTCTGGTCATGCTTATGCGTGGAGCCAAGATTAGAATTTCAGAATCTTATTCCCTTTGTAGAAATCTCTGGTGAAACTGCACTAGAAGAACTGTCTCCCGTTCTCATTGACCCGGCTAAAGACTGACATTTTTGCGTTGGAGAAATTACAGGGAAGAATAACAAAATGAAGGTGCTTTAGCATCTCCACTACAAGGAGGGGCTTCAAAATTGCGACTGTTCAACTTAGAAGAAAGGCAAGTGAGGGGGACCAGATAGGGGTTGCTAAGATCAGGCACACAGGGGATAAAATGGAGAGGCAGGCGCTTTTCATCCTCTGCCATTACACTCAACTTGGGGTCAAGCCAGGGAACCTGTTGGTGGGATGTTTACAAGAGAAAAAAGGAAATTCTGGAAATTTAGCATTTGTTATCAGATTATGATTTTTTGAACCCACTGCCAGTTTCATTGTTTCACTGTCTTATCGATTATACTGTGCTTATCCTCCTGTTGCAGTGTATATTGCCTTTTTGTATCATGTAATAAACTTTTACCTATTATTGTTAGCTATTTTCAGCTGTATCCTTGTAATGATTGTGATGTGAGCCACCCAGAGAGCCTTCTGGCCATGGGGCGGCATACACATGCCAGCAATAAACGAACCACTAAATAAATATTTCCCTCAGCACATAGGTCAACTGCAGGATTGGCTGCCATGGGAGGTATTGATGGCCACCACTTTCAATGGCTGTAATAAGGGACAGAACAGGCTCAGGGCAGTGCAGGCGATCTGTGGCTGAGGGCATCACTGATGAAGGGAGTGTGTGCCTGCACGGATCACTTGTGGAGGAGCAGGGCAGGCAGAGCCCGTGTCTCCTTGGCATGAAATGAGCCACACCTGCGAGAAGCCACATAAATTCCTGCAAGGTGCAAAGCCCCTCAGGGACATGGGAAGCCTTTGGAAGCCTCAAAGCATTCAAACCGGGAGGGGGTATCACAGAATGTCAGAGTGCAGGGAGAGCTTCAGCTGCTTGGGGATTGTGCCAAACATCAAAGAACACACACAGAAGGGAATTCAGGAATGTGTGGACAGTGGGAATCGCTTCTGCGATCCTGGATCATGCCCTGCTCGCCATGGTGCTGGGGCAGAGCCCTGGGTGCCTGCTCTGCATGAATTTCAGGGTGAAATGGGCCACAGGGAGATGCTTTAGAGCTGGATTAGGAAAGAAGAACATGGCAGGAGTCTTAAGATTTGTTCTCAATTTGACAGGAAAGTCATCAAGTCTAGCATTTTCTTTGCAGAGTGTGGCAAGTTTTGATTTCAGCAAAGCTTTTGATTAAGTGCCCCATGATACTCTGCCCAGGTAACTTGCTGAAAGTGGTCAAGATGCAACCACTGTTGGGAAATCCAGAGTTGGGCACAGAGCTGGACTCAGGGAGCTTCTCCGGGGCATCGTCTCAGGCTGTGGAGGCGCCACGAGTGGGCTCCTGACTCGGTTGTGCGCCCAGCGATCCTCCACATGCATATGAATGGCTGGGACCAAGCAGTGCAGGGCAGGCATGTCTGAGTTGCAGGTGACGCGTACCAGGGGGTGTAGCGAACACCTGAGTGGGAATCTGTTTCCAATGTGGTCGTAATTTTTTCTCTGGCAAGTTTTTCTCATTTACACAATGTTTTTATACTGTGGTGTCTTTCGTATTGTATTTTAATGGAAGCTGTAAACCACCCCAAGGCCATCAGCAATTTTATGGTATCGAAGCTAAATAATAAATGAATCGGTTCTCTACATGCAGATGCTTGGCTCAACAGCATTGCAAGTGAGAAGGATCTTGGCATTGCTGTGGCTCACACACTGAACGTGAGCCAACCATGCGATGCAGCTGCAAAAGGGACCAATGTTCTATTGGGCTGCATTAAAAGAAGGATCACTTGCAAGCTTTGTGAGGGCCGTGCGTTGCCATCTCACCAGCAGCGCTGAATACGCGGAGCGAAGGGCACGGAGGTGCTGGGCAGCAGTGCTGCGGAGGAGGCACAGAGGCCATCGCAGCTCCCTCAGCACCGCCCCATCCACCTCGAGGAAGAGCAAGCCCTGCAGCTCCAGGCGCCCAGTTCCGAGCTGCCCAGAGAACAGGAGGGGCTGTGGGGCATTTTCCTGCCTCCCCTGGGTCTGTATTGAGCTTTAAGGCCGGGGTGAGGGATTCTGGCTCACAGTTCTTCACCTGTGCAGCACTGCATGCTCATGGTTGCCAGGGAAACAAGAGGAAACTCGTTTTGTCATTGGTGCTCCCTAATCATGTCCCCACCCCAAGTTGCCACTCAACCACTTGTTAGGTAATTGAATGGGATTAGCACAGGACACATTTTCGGACACTTCTAGCAGTTGGTTGCTACATGCTAAATTAAGCAGCATGATCAAATCCTAAAACTCTGGCATTGAGTACACGTGTGTGCAATAATTCCTCCACTTCTCTCACTGGCATCCGTTGCTGCTGGTCCTCCCAGGGGCTGCCCAGTGCAGCCAAGAGCAACCCCAGAGTCCCCTCGCAGCTGAAACCCAAGCCAGGGTCCCGTTTTTCCGTCCTTCCGTGAGGCCAAATTGGAGCAGGCAAGCTGCTGGGTCAGGGCTGGCACTGCCTGGCTTGGCACTGGTGCACCTCCCCTTGTCTTTCTCCCAGGTCAGACCTCCTGGCCGCGACGGACCCTCCAGCCAGAGGATGCTGCTGTGGGACGGTCTAGTCCAGGTTCTTGCAGTTTCTCCAGGCAGGTGGCACCTGGCCCCTTCCGCTGACCCCACCCCCCTCCGCTGTTCCCCTTTCTCCTCATTCAGCCACAAGTCACCTGCGGGAAGCAAGAGCAAGGAGCACTGAGGTCTCATTGTGGAACTGAATTACTTTCAGGATAGTGGAGTCAAAGACCGTGTCTGCCCATCCGCCTCTTCTCCCTGGATGCAGACTAACTGGAACAAGTTAAGAGGAGGGCAACACAGATGATCTGGAGGCTGGAAAGCAGCCATACAAGGAGAGATCGGAGAACTGGGCAAGTTGAGCCTTGAGAAGAGAAGAGAAGAGAAGACAGAGGGGAGACAGACGAGCTGCCTTCCAGTGCTTGAGAGGCTGTCGCTTGGGAGGGCCTGGATCCCTGCTCGATCATCACATAACTTATTCAGGATGCAGGAGGTTAGATTTTGGCTAGAGAACAGTCAGAATGTCCTGACTCTGATACTGAATGAGACTGTGACCAGTGCCCTGGTGCAGTTGTGGGCTCTGCCACACTGGAGGCATTGAAGAGGCTGCTGGACAGCCCTCAGAGAGGGGTAATTTCCCTTGGAGCCTGCGCTGAGCAGGGACTTGGTCCCGATCCTCCTCCTGGCCCCTTCCAGCTCCCCAGTGATCTCTGAGCTATTGCCCTTGATCAGCACACATTTCTCCTTGGCAGTTCCTTAGCAAGGCCAGGAGAAAGTGGCTCCCACCCTAAGGGCAGAGTTCTGTGCATGTTTACGCAGAAGGAAGATTCTGCCCCTCCCAAGCTGCATATTGTGCAGGAGGCACCCGAGTCTCCCCTAAATTAGGATGCTGAAATGATGGAAGCTTGAAGGAACCATGGCTGGATTTTCATGTAGGGCTGGGGGCTTCACAGAGCAGCCTATTCTGCGTCTGACCACAGGACCAAACCCAGCAGTCTGGACTGTTTGTCCCTGCACATGCTCAGAAAATTCCCTTTTTCAGCAGTAGCAAAGCATCATAAGGGGAGAGAACAGGACAGAGCATTGTGGAGAGCATTCCTTCCGAGGGTTGCCATGATTCAGAGCCTGGTGGGGGAAAGCACGGGAGACGCAAAACCATCATGGCCAAATTGCAGGGGGGAACCATCCCTCCGATGTGGCAGCTGGAGTGGAATTGTGTATACATACTTGACACTCGGGATGTACATGTGCAATTATGCCCCCTGATGTAATTTGTCTGAGAAAGGGCCATGGGACAGTTTGCACACACCCCTGCCCCACATCAGGGAGCTCCAGAGGTGGGTCAGAGGAAGGAGGCAGGAGAGCAGCTCCCAGGCAGCGGCAGGCGGAGGAGCAGCAAGAACCACCACAGGGAGGGCAGGGGAGGTGCGGGGCCTGCGGGATGCGCCTCTTCCTACAGTGTGGAGCACTGAGAGGTGAAGGTTTTCCTGGACTGCATCCCTGTTCAGCAGTGGCATATTTGTATACAGGAGAAAGGGAGTTTCCATTCTGCTGAGCACAGACACAAGAGCAAGTCTTTTGGCACAGTCGCACGCAAGTCGAGAAAGCCCTACAGCATCAAGCTCCCACATCGAGCTGGCCGGGGAACAGGAGGAGCTTGCGGGGCATTTTCCTGCCTCACGTACGTCTGGATGGCACCTTGGCGACCATTTTGAGGGACTCCGGCCCGCAGTTTTCTCCTCGGCCGCACCGCGCGCTCTTGGTTGCCGGAGCAGCAGGACGAAACTCCTTTTCCCATTGGCTCCCGCCTGTCTCCCGCCCCTCCCGGCCACCCAATCAGTTGTCAGGCAATGCGGCAGGGGGTAAATTTTCAGACACTGCTAGCGATTGGTTGCTGCGTGCGAAGTTAAGCAGAGGATCAAATCCTACAACTCGGACACCGAGGACACGTGTGTGCAAGTGCGCTCAGAGTCGAGCCTTGGCGAGCTCAAGGCAGCTCACTCCCCAGTCAGGTTGATTAGAGGCTGGCTCCTGGCAGGGGGTGGGGCAGAGGAAGTGCAACTGGTAATTCCTCCAGTTGTCCCACTGGCATGGCTGCTGGTCCTCCCCGGGGTGCCCAGGGAAGCCAACCCCAGAGTCCTTTGGAGGCTGAAACCCGAGCCAGGCCCCGCTTCTCCGTCCCTCCGTGAGGCAAGTTGGAGCAGGCTGCCTGGCGGGGCAGGGCTGGCTCTGGCCGGCCTGGTACTGGCGCGCCTCCCCTTGTCTCTCGCCGGGGCCAGACCTCCTGTCTGCGACGGACCCCCCAGGCGGAGGATGCTGCCTCGGGACGGTCCAGTCCAGGTTCTAGCTGTTTCTAGCTGTTTCTGTCGCTCGGGAGGACCTGGATCCCTGCTCAATCATCACATGACATGTTCAGGATGCAGGAGGTTAGATTTTGGCTAGAGAACAGTCAGAATGTCCTGACTCTGATACTGAATGAGACTGTGACCAGTTGTGGGCTCTGCCACACTGGAGGCATTGAAGAGGCTGCTGGACAGCCCTCAGAGAGGGGTAATTTCCCTTGGGGTCTGCGCTGAGCAGGGACTTGGTCCCAATCTACCTCCTGGCCCATTCCAGCTCCCCAGTGATCTCTAAGCCATTGCCACGGATCAGCAGACATTTTTCCCTGGCAGTTCCTTAGCAAGGCCAGGAGAAAGTGGCTCCCACCCTAAGGGCTGAATTCTGTGATGTTTAGGCAGAAGGAAGATCCTGCCCCTCCCAGCTGCAAATTGTCCAGGAGGCATCCGATTGACCCCTAGGTTAGGATGCTGAGATGAAGGAAGCTTAGAGTAACCAAGACTGGATTTTCATATAGGGCTGCGGGCTCTGCACAGTTGGCCAGTCCACGTCTGAGCACAGGACCAAACCCTGGGTCTTGCAGCCTGGGCATGTCAGGTGTAGAGCCGACTGGAGCCAGGGGTCAGACTAGATGGCTCTGGAGGACCTTTCTGACTCGCTCAGTTTCTATGGTTCTATATCCCTGCACATGCTCAGAAAATTCCCTTTTTCAGCAGTAGCAAAGCATCATGGGGGGGAGAGAATAGGACAGGGCATTGTGGAGAGCATTCCTTCCGAGGGTTGCCATGCTTCAGAGCCTGGTGGGAGAAAGCACAGGAGACGCAAAATGGTCATAGCCAAATTGCAGGTTGAACCATCCCCCCGCCCTGACGTGGCAGCTGGAGCGGAGTTGTTTATACTTAATAGACACCTGGGGTGTACAGGTATGATGCGGAGTGAAGGCAGGAGCAAGCCGAGTCTTCTCTCGGCTGAATCCCAAGCCAGGGCCCCCTTTTCCATCCCTCCGTGAGGCCAAACTGGAACAGGCAGGCTGGTGGTTCAGGGCCGGCCCTGCCCGGCCTGGCACTGGAGCGTCTCCCCTTGCTTGTCTCCCGGGCCGGACCTCCTGGCTGCGGTGGACCCTCCAGCCGGAGGAGGCTGCTTTGGGACGGTGACCCTTGCATGTTCTGCCCTGCGCGACTGTCCCTGTTAGACCATCTGACTGACAGCGGGTTTGCTCTGGGGAAGGGAGCCCGGCGGGGATGTGCAAACCATCCCCACCCCCTCACAGCACCTGGCTTTTTCTGCCTAAACATGCACAGGATTCTGTCCTTCAGGTGGGAGCCACTTCCTCCTGCCCTTGCTAAGGCACAGCCAGGGAGAAATGTGTGCCGATCAAGGGCAATAGCTCAGAGATCACTGGGGAGCTGGAGGGCCAGGAGGGGAAGTGGGTCCAAGCCTCTGTTCAGCATGGACTCCAAGTGAAACCATCCTTTCCAGAAGGCTGTCCAGCTGCCTTTTCAATGGCCATTAGCACTAATGCAGAGCAGGGCGACACAGATTTTATTTTTTATTTATTTATTTTTTGATTTATATCCTGCCTTTTTCCTACAAAGGGCTCAAGGCAGCTTACATCCTCCTCCTCCTCCATCTTATCCCCACAACAACCCTGTGAGGTAGGTTGGGCTGAGAGTCTGTGACTGGCCCAAAGTCACCGCGGGGACTAGAACCCAGATCGCCTGAGTCCCAGTCCCATGCTCTTAACCACTATGCCACACTGGCTCTCGAGGACTGGCTGGCAAGAACTCATTACACCAGTCCTCTGTCAGCTGCATTTTATTTATTTATTTATTTTTCAATTTATATCCTGCCTTTTTCCTACAAAGGGCTCAAGGCAGCTTACATCTCCTCCTCCATCTTATCCTCACAGGGTTGTTGTGAGGATAAGATGGAGGAGGA